CTTTTATGTGTTTAATCTTCCAGGTAACAAATACAAACATCCTCTGAACACCCCAGCTGAATTAAGAGCTTTTTTCCAAAGGGTTGAAAGTTTTACAAYAGTTTTCAGGGAAGAAAGAAAAAGGAAAAAAAAAACCCTCGATTCCTGGATTTCTGGTCCCCACATGAACAACATTTGTTATGTTAAAGTAAATAGCACCTGCTTCCTCCTGCTTTTTGCTTAGAAAATATGYTGGGAACCAAAAGGAAGCCAATTAACATTAATTAGTGGCATTCCACAAGTGCTGCCTGCAGACCTTACCAGGAGAGGCTCCTCCACGTCAGGGATGTGCTGGGAAGTTGCCACAGGCTGGAGCTGGATGGGAAAACCACAGCAGAAAAGCTCAGGAGCAGGGRCTGGGAGCTCTGCCTGCAGATCCAGGGGATCCTGAACCCTGTTTCTTGCCCAGGAAAACCTCTGTGGGAAAAGGGGACCACCCCACAAACCCCTCAGCCACCAGAACCCCTGTGAGATCCCTCCATCCATCGCCCTTCCAGAGCCAGGTGATCACACGTGGCAGAGGCACACAGCTCCTTTCATGTCTTTTAATTCCTCAGATTTTACAGGTTTTTCTACTCTGTGAGGCTTCAATTCCCCTATTTTTCACTGCCCATCCTCCTATTTCCAAAAAAACCCCAACGAACCAGAGAATTCTGGCTTTGCTCAGAACTTGGGGATGATTTTTTGAAGGATAAAGGTGGCCATGTGGCTCTGGACCAGAGAGAAGCTAGGACAGAAGAGGTGCCAAGTGGACAAAGACAGAATTTATAAACTGAAGTGTAAAGGAAACTAAGAGACCTATAAATAGCAACAGATTTTCAAAAAAAGAACATTTAAGACTGATCACAACAAATACGTTGCTATGAAATTTGTATCATTCCCAATTTATTAGGCATAAATTGCTCTTTAAAACTGCTTATATCATACACTTTCTTTATCATCACTGCACAAAGGGCACCAATTGCTGCTGCAGAATGCTACAGAGAGCAGTTTGGACTCACTAATGTGACACAGCTTTCTCCTCTCAGACCCTGGAGGAAAGGAAAGTGTTCCTAGAGTGGGAAACTGAAAGACCAGCTTAAAAAAATAAGGAAAAAGACAGATAATTGCACATTTTTTGCATCCTGCTTGGACCATGCTTTACAAAACAGTTTTCAAAGTCATCACAGACCTAAGGAGATCCTGATCTGAGACAATTATTTGATGCATTTGACCAAGGTTCTGATTTTAAGGCTTCCACAGTCTTCCCACTCTGACAGGATCAAGGGTTTGATGTTTCACATTATACTTGCATCTACATTTCTCTCTTGATTTCGCCCTTTATTCATTTTTATTCTTCAAAGGGGAAAAACAAGTCAAGGGGTGCATGAAAAACAAAGCAAGGTGGTGCCGACTGAAACACAAAGTAAACACTGACCTTTCCAAAACCTGGTGAATAAATTAACTCATGGTTAGAACATGAAAGCATTTGTTGAAAGCTCTGATCCTGCAATGTG